CTCCATCATAGACTTAAGTTATGAAAATTTAATCACTAGGTGAGAAATTTTTGTGGAATACTTTGACAAATGCACAAATGGTTCACCATCTACCTCTCCCAGTGCACAACAGGTAAATGCATTATTATTGGTCATAAAAAATCTGGCACATAAGCCGAACGACGAGCGAAAATATCAGCAGCTTAGCAAAAAAAAAAAATGAAAGTAGATCGTTTATTGTCAATGGTATGGGAAATGAAGTTTTACTCTAGCGTCAACATGTGTATTTTTATTAAAATTGAATATAAAATAAAAGCAAGAAAAAGAAAAAAAAGGAAAACAAAAAAAATATTTAGTCATCTTTAAATAAATTAACTCACATTGTTTTTTACTATGTGTAGTCTGAATAACACCTGTTTCGCCTATATACGCGTAGTAGTTACCAAGAATAAAAATTCTATTTTCATATTCCTATAATTATCAGATTTATTTGGCACTGCATTAACTGTTACTCTTTAATTTAGCGTTTAGGTAGTGCAGTTTAGTCTTTAGTTTAACTGTTTAAAAAGTGAAAAAGGAAAGAGAAAGGAAAGGGATAATGCTTGGCCAAGCGGTATATACAACCGCTTACGCGGAGTATGGGTGGGTGTGCCTGCGAGTGAGGGCAGGGGGACAGGGAATGTGCACTGTCGGACTAAGAATGGAACAACGAACAGCGAACAGTACAGACAACAAGCGTCACAGACGGAGTTAACTCTTGGGTCCAGTCACACCGCGTGAACTCCTTAAGGGTTTCGTTAGACCTTTCTTTATTTTAATTTTAAATTTTTTTGTCATCCGGCACATCATGCCAAATATTTCGTAAATGATCTACCGCGCAAAATGTTATGCCGTTAACAAAGTTTAAACATAAACAACAAAAAGTTGGTTATCAAAACTACATTTTATTCCTTCATGATTCATGTGTGCTGCGCCGGTTTAATCCTTTACGGCTTATTGCCATGTTAAAGAACTACAAATTGTGAAAAATAAACTCTTAAAAGTGACGTTTTAAAATTAAATATTAATTTTAAAACAATGCGTCCATTTGCATAGTACTCTTATATCATTGACCTACAATTACTGCAAATATTTCTTTTTCTGTTTGTTTATTTTTCTTTTTCTCTCCTTTTTTTTTTCATTCTATGTCTATATTTTTTCATTAATCTTATTGTTACTTCAAATCCAATATTAGTATAATAATTTATTAATTTCTAAGTTGTGAAGGAGAATCCCTACTCCTACACTCATCATGTCGAACACAGGTCCTAAAACTAAGACCAAACAAAACCAAATTAAATTTTAAAAAAATGTGAAAAAATTTATCATTATTAAAAAAAAATAATTACATTTAGTTTATTCTAATTTTCTTGCTTTATTTATATATTTATTTTATTTGCTTATATATATTATACATTTTACCCAGTCTTTCATATTGTTATAAAATTCGATTCATTTAACAGAATTAATACGGTGCTTTTCCACTATTTATTCTCTTTTTTAACAGAATTGCTACGGTGCTTTTGCACCATTTATTGAAAGCAACTCTCTTCTCTCTCTCTATTCGCAATACATGGTATTTTTTTTTGTAAGCTATGTAAAGGGAAAAACCAACTAACGGCTTTTAGAGAAAAATCAAAGCCTTTCCACAAATGCAAAAAGAAGTTTCACAAAGTGAACATTTGCGAAAAAACAATTAAAAAAAGGAATTAAAAATTACAAAAAATTGTAAAAAAAATTTAGCGTATTAAAACACTTTATAAAAAAAATTGTTTATTAAGATTTGATAAGCGTAGTGTTTAATTAATTAAATTTTTGTAGAGAATTTACGAAAATTATATGAAAAATTAGTGTAGTGTTTAATTAAAAAGAGCCCGAAAAATGTAAAATATTTATCATATCATATTTATCATATTAAAATCTTACTTAATGTTAGAAAAATTTGGCGTATTAAAATCTTCCCTAACAATAACAACATTAAGTTCTAGTTTCAACAGTTCATTGACGGTAAGTGCATTCATTTATTATTTACAATGTTATATATTTCATTTCTGAGATTCACATAGTTTTCTTGAGAATCTCATTGGTGTCTCTAGTCGCTAGCAATTATTAGCATTAACTTACGATCACTTTTCAACTATTTCACTGAAAGATCAAACATCCTTCATATATTTGTGACGATTTATTATTTTACGATTAAAACAGAGCTTTTGGACCTATACCCATTGGAAGCAAATTTGCAATTACGTAGTCAGGACGTGAATAACCATATTTATACAGAAAAAAACGACTATAATATTGATTGTGATGATGAAGCAGCCACATTGAAAATATCTTGAACGAAGCAAACGGAACAGATGCGGAAATATTTTTCAGGATACACCACATGTACAGATATCCTAAAAGGTACACTGTAAAAAGTGCTTGACTTTCGTGACCAAGTGAGATTTCACAGGTAGCCTATGCGCAGCTTTCATACAGTACATAAATTATAGCGCAGAAAAGCCATATCTAGAAAACCCCGAGGATGAAATTTTTGAATTACGCCAATATAAAATCTACCGTTACGAGTATTAGAGAACTTAGAGATTAGGAAATTATTTTCCATTAAAATTTTTCAAATCATTATTGAGAGAAGTTGGTTTAATACACATTAACCAAAATATTTGCACAATTTTTGCAACAAATGGCCAAAATGGTATTTTTAATTAATTCGTGTGGCAGCCATTTTAGCCACTACTGCTGATCTTTTTTGTAAAAGTACATCGTTTAACCTGTTACGCTGACGCGGTAGAAGTCTGCAATAACTGTTTCAGCCAATTTTAGCAGCTCGTAATACAGCAAAACGTTATGGCGATCAACATTCCACTTAGGTGGCGATGTAAATGGCTCTTATTGATTAGCACATCACTTTTTATACTTGCGATTATCTTTATAGATTCACTTTTCATCACCAGTCACAATGCGACAAAAAAAAAAACCCGTGTAAACTAAAGAGAATGAAAGACAAATTACTAAAAGAAAATTAATTTAAAGGAATAGAAAGCAAAGAAGTGAGAAAATTAATTCATTAATTATTTAATTTACTTACCTTTCACAAACTCAAAACTTTTGTTGTGGTTCAGCTGTTTGTAAGTAACTAATTTTGTTTGGAATTTATTTTTATTCAATTTGCAGGTGTTATTTTATAAATGCAGCTTTAAACAACTAATGCTAATAAAAATTCGAAAATGAGACCTTGTTAACACCATACACAATCAGTGTCCATGTCGTGATGATTTCTGTCGACATGTCATTTGTGTTCAATGCACAACACGAATGAACATAACGCGTTTTACGAATCAAGCGAGCGATCAATATAATATTGACTGCCTATATTTATATGTAGAACACATAGCTTACCTTATGTTTTGTGTTGACGCAAATTTCTGTGTGCGTCGCTTTTCACAGAAAAAATAGCCATGCGTTCATGATATATATAAAAAGCACGGTGATATTGTTGATTTATAAGGTTAGATAAATATTATATTATTGACGATTGTGTGAATGTATCAAGAATAACTAAAATTGCCTTTTGCTTCCAAAAATTCAATTTTTGCTTTCTTTCGTCTTTTGCTTTAAAAAATCGCTTTTCAAGGTAATTCTTTAATTTGTTGAATTTGCACTTGTTCAGTAACATTTATGTAAGTGTCCGCTGAACATATCACTATGCTTTAGAAACGCAAACTAATTATCCGTTCAACTGGGGGCTGATTCCTTTAGTTAACTAGCTCTCATTTCAAAGAAGTACTTTGGTTGTAAGTTATACCGTTCGAAATTTATCTCGAAAAAGTAATGACAAAATAAGCGGCCAATTTTGTTTGTTTCTATACAATACTAATAAACTAATCACACCAGCATAAACAAAACAAAATGATATAACGTTTTTGATAAAATGAAATGAAGTGAAAAAAACTTCATATAATTCATATAATTTCATAATTTCATAACTTAGGAAAACTTCAAATTGTGAACTTGAAATTTGAATTGTAATATATATCCTCTTATTTATATTTTATATATCGTAATTTTTTAAGTAAAAGCCACCTTTTTAATTTTAATCTTAAAGCAAATCTTTATTTTTCCGCCTCAATTGCCAGGTTTCTAGCGAAACATCGACACTATCGTCAAAATAAGTTTGCCTTGATACCAGAAATCAAAAGTTTACTAACATAATTTCCACACAGTCGCAAACCTTACGAATAAAATATTTGTGTGTGTACACGGAAAAACATTTTCGGGTAACGTAAGAGGATTTGCAACGTCCCGACGGACCTTTCTACGTGTGACAAGATTGCTTTTCCACCAATCTCGACGTTGCTCTATCATCAAATAACGTAATATAAAAAACGGGACGATTCCGCCTGCAGTATATATTTTCCTCAACAACACTTGATTATTTAGAAACAATATCTCACTTCCTTTTTTTGTAGTTTCTTTAGTAGAATGAATTAGGCCTGTTCACGATAAGACCAATATATCAAGTAGAGTGATTATCTTTTAATATTTGTTGCTTTAATTATAGCGACAGTATATTTATGTATGAAAAGATTAATCGTATAGAATTCATAACAGGCTTTGGCGAATTAATAATGTTAATTAGACAAAGGAAATAAAAAACAAAAAAAGTGAATTAAGTTACCTTTCTTAAGTAAATACTTCGGTTTGAAATTTATATTTTTTGCAGTCTGCAGGTCCTTTGTCTTATAAATGCAACTCTAAGCAACCAACAGCAACCCAACAGTAACGTAACGCGTGAGGTATTTTACTTAACTCTGATTTGATCGCTTTCGAAGAGCGTATCTCGCAACTTCTTACGAATACATACAGAAAAAAAGCCCAAACTCGAAAATAAAATCTAGTTAACATGATACGTAATCAGTATTCTGATTTTGCGTTTTGCGTGATGCATGACGCAGTTATTGTGTCGCCTATATCCATTTTGATTCTTGTCAATAAAAGCATCATTAAAACTTTGAAAAGTTGGTAACTTGCAATTTAGTAATTTCCAGTTAATTTTTTTCAGAAAAGTGTTTTACCTGAAAGTATATGGTAATTTTTTTTATATGGAAAAGCAGGTCTTGTCTAGGGGAGTTTCAGCTTGCTCCCCTATCAATTTACAAAATTTGTAATTCTTTTCTTACTTCTTTTAACAACTCAACAATCTACAATTATATTTACCAAATTGATTGGCTTGCTCCACCTTAACTCAACATCCAAAAAAGCAGGTGTTTCAATTATGGGCGAAGCGGAAGACATCAGTGAGCTGTTATTTTTTGACACGTTCTCGCACGAAATAGACACGGTATGGCTATTAAATAACTTGTATATATTTTTGCAATATTTTTTTTCCGTAGGATATCAATCTGGATTTGGTACAATTTCCTAAGCCAGTTTACATTACTCAAGTTCGAATTATACCACTGGGTGCAAGAGTGCAAGCCGATTTTCCAGGTGGTGTACGCTTAGGTGCCACTAATCCGTCGAAATTCGAGATTGAATTTTTTGTGAATGATTTGGATATGACCGGCGCATCTACATTTGAAACACTCGGGCAACTGCAGTATAATCAAAATGATTGCATACACTTAGAATGCAATCAAAAAAAAATACCTACGGACGGTTTGGTGTTGAGGGGTTGGTATGGTACAATCACCTTGGCTGTTTACGGAATTTTAACTAATTCATTAACGGAAAATATCGCCAGTCCTCCTCCAATCCATAGTGAACCGGAGGTTATAGAAGAGTTGAACAATTTAAGCAATGAAGGTATAGATGTAGACAATTTGAAAGTGGTTGACAACTTGAAGGATGAATGGAAGGAAAATGAGTTGTCTCATAGGGTTGCTGCAGAATACGATTGTGAAGCTGCGGACTATGAAGGTTTGAGATCCTCTAGAGGGGGAAGTGGAACTGCTGATGCACACTATTGTCACGATTCAAATGATGAAAGAGACCGGGAAAGACGTTTACGTAAAGTTTCGAAATCTTCTGAACACTCTCCTACGACATCTCATATACGTACTCGCTCAGAGGGTAACGAACTAGAATATAGAGAATGTAGAGAACGCGACCGCGAATGCGAAAAGTTAACACGAGATTGGTCCCGTAGTCCCCCCGACTATTCAAGACATTCTAGACATAAGCGTACAGAGCGTTCTAGATCAGATATTGAGGAATCCCACAAATGGCCTCGTACTCCTCCAATATCTGCAGATTCGCCTTTAAGGCCGCATTCACCTGATTATAGTGATGACGAAATGGACGGTCGTTACAAACACATGAACATCCGCAGTTTTAGATGTTCGACTGATTCTCTCAACATAAGACCTTCAAGCGTCGCGGCGGCCGCTGAAACACCAGAGACGCATGTTATAGACGATGACGAGAATCCTGGCACCCCTTTAGAACAATACGAACCCATACTTAGTGATGATGAAATTATAGACGATGAGGCTGACGAAGGTTCAAATGCTCTAAATGAAGATCAAACAGTCAATGATGATTTGGAAGCTAAGTGGCAAATAGTGCCTGCCATCATTACGTTTGATGTTTATGAAAAGCCGTTGCAAAAATTTACCATCGATTTTCAGGAATATTATCAGATGGATGTCGAAAATCTTAAGGCTATTCTCGAAAAATTCGATACACAAACTAATTGTACAAGCCTCGAGGAGTTTTCTGACGTTCTGACTAATCAAGAACAAAGGGAATGTTTTGTTTACCTCTGCGAACAGCTCATCAATCAATTATCGTTCATTAGCAAAAATATCAAAAGGCGCAATTATGTGCTACAACAGCTATGTGAATGTAAAAAACGTCTTAAGAGAATTTTTCACATTTTAAGAGTAGCTTTGAATTTCGACTCGGCTAGTGCACAAACTCAACCAGTTTTTAAAATACGTCACATTAAGGTAGGAGCCAAACTAATGGAACTATTGGCTCCCTGCCAGCAACTGTTTGAGTATTTATTACAGGTAGAAAAGTACGATCCTTTCCAACCGTTATTATCGCTGCTAAACCAAATTTTCATGGCTCTATCAATTAAACTATTGCTTCTTAAGGCTATGTATGCTTTAATGGATACTAAACCAGCTTTGCAACATTTTTTGGCGCCGGAGGTAAAGGGCTATTCCTTGCTTTTGGGTCTTTTGCAACAAACGCAACTAACGCGTTCGAAATACGCATTGCAATCGTTGATTAAAAAATTACATTTGAATGAAGCCTTGCTTAGCATACAAGAAACATGTATGCAATTGTTTGTTTCAAATAATTTTGACTCATCAATTGAGGAGTCTTATCAACTAATGGATTCTTGCATACAACAATTGATTGACGCATTTACAAAAAATTCTTTGTTTTATCAACAACCAAGAAGATTCTTACCAGTATCGAAAAAATTTGAGATTTCTTTAGATAAACCAGCGCAACGAAGCTTCGCAAACACATTGCAATCTTATCTAAAGCAACACTCCTTAGGTGAATCGTTGTTGTTGTTGATATCAAACGCCACTAATTTACCCTCTTATTTGCTGTTAAATATTACGGATTTGTTGATAGCTTTAATGAAAACAGGGGTGGGCCTGGACTATCTAGTAGATGATTGTTTCGAAACAACACAACTGATAGTGTCAACACTCTTGGGTATTGAAAGCTCACCGAAGGAATTTGAGGATAGAGAAAATAATCTAGAAGCGGAAGTTGTTATATTTCCCAAAAGTGGCGAAGTGGCAACCGACATAGCTATTGAGAAAGAAAATCCGATCACAGATTCTACTACTAGTTCAACCGTAATCACTTCACCATCGCTGGTTGATAAACTCGAAACACCTGTTGAACAATCAAAAGAAGAAACAGAGGTTTCTACGTCGTTGGCGAACAATGTAGTGTACCATAAAGAAGAGATACAATTAAATAAAACCGGATCATCACGCTTACAGCAATTGGGCATGGAATTGGCCTACAAAGTACAAACTCGTTACCATCTCGATGCTATTGTTTATTACTCTTCAATAAGCAACGATTACGATTCAATTGCCTTAGCTTGTCACTTACACTCTCTGTATTCGCAGACTTGTAGTGTCATGGGGAGACAGCATACTGTCGAAGTACTAGGCCTTAACAATCATTTGCAAATATTCTTAAATTTGATACAAAAAGAACAACATCTGCAAGCGCAACGTCAATTAGTTTTGCCGGGTGCCAAATACAAAAGCCCAGTACTTAGTTATGCTGTGGATATGGTGGATTGTTGTGTACGGTATTGTGAGAATTTAGAATATTTGATTGAACATGGTAATCATATCTTAGAGCTGGCTAAAAACCATGATACCTTCGAACCTTCCGTATCAGCAGTTCTACAAGAAATGTTTGTTTATCTTAAACCTCTAGAGGCTCGGAACATATTTGCTTATAATGATATTGGCTCTTTAGTCGAAGTGATCAATCGGTCATTAGAATATATCACAACATTTCCAGGTGATTTGATTATGGGTCTAAGAATATTAAGGCTTTTAGCAATTAGTCCTAATACGCAAGTTTATAAATCAGTTGATACCCAGGAGCTAAAGCACCGCTACGTCGCTTTGCAGTTCTATGCTGCAGATGGCTTACAAGTGCTTATACGAGTTTTGGAAAAAATTTATACATACTACGAACAGCCCGGTCTGCATGCTCCTGTTCTTATGACTCTACAAGGATTGCATTGTTGTCAGATTATTTTACCTACCTTACAAATTATGCGTGAGATGTTATCATTTGCTATACAATGTCGTGATGCCGATTTTAAAGATTTAACAGCCATCGACCATTTAATGAAAACATATAACCTGTTGCATTATTTTCCAAAGGGGAGTCAAGCTGCCATTGAGGTGGAGTCTGCTAAACAAGAAATCATACAAACTTTCTTGGCTTATACACAACCCAACGAACAGGATGAGGAGTCGTTACATAAATCATTGTGGACGCAAATGATAAGGGAAGTTTTAAAAAATATCGATAGCCCTGCCAGCTTTATACCAGGTAAGTGATGTTTGTAGAAACCTAAGAACAAAATCAATATTAATCCTTAATTAATATAAGGAAGTGGAACTAAATTGGACAAACCAAAATCACGTTTTCCACTTCGGAATTGCTTTCAGAGCTTGGCCTCAATTGCACTTCTCTGCATTCTCATTAGTTGAAGATCGGCCGACCAATAACTAGCTAAAATTTGAATTTCGGAAATCTTTCCTTCGTATAACTTACAAAGCGATCTCTTCACTATTCAATCGACATTTTGACAATAATACATTTGGTGTACAGCAGACGCATTGAAGTGCTAGCTATGTTACTAGCAATTGCATATTATAGGTATTAGAATAATATTTCTTCTAAATTTGAATTATGTCTTTTTAGTAGAAAACAAAAACAAGAACGGTTAAGTTTGATCTCAGCAGGAAATTGATATTTGTTAGGACTGTTTTTTTTTTTATAATTATTAATTTTTTAGCCAGAGATATAAATTCTAAGGCTAAACTTTTAATGCATTAAAATTTAAGTCTATCGGCTTTGTTGAAAACTCTACCGTACTTGAGATTATAACCCACGACCCCACGACCCCACGACCACTGAGAGAGACCCTTGCCTACTCGGTTAGTAAGGCGGATAACGTTTTTTTCAAAATGTTTAATTTTAGTAAAAACTGTAGGAAAAATTTTTTAATACTTCGCATATATTTCCATAGTGTTAAGTTAGTGTGAACATTTTTTAATATGTTTCCAAAACCTTAAAGCTATAATATTAACATTTAATCTATTTTATTAATATTTGAACCAATTTTTAAGGTCTCTTGGTACTTGCTGAATTATTACCTTTACCTTTGCCCGCGCCTTTGCCGACATCGAATTCGCAGATTAGTTCTTATACCTTGAAAACTCAAGCTCAGCGTTTGATAACTGAACGAAAATTATGGTCAGCACATTTGCATCCGCAAAGTGCACAAATAGCACGCTTAGTCGAAAATATAGCGCCGACTTCTTTTCCGCAGTTGAGTGATTTATTAGCCAGAACGTGTCTGCAACTCTCGGATTTAGCGCCAAACATGACATTATTAATATCAAAGACTTTGAGCGACTTGTTGACTGCGGAGTGGCGCATAACCCAAAATCAACCGACTGTGCAATTAGCCCGACTTTTGCAATTCTACGCACGTCTTAATGCTTATGCTTCTTTGAAAATTTCTACATTGTCGATATTAACAGGGAAATTATGGGAGCTTTTTCAAGACATACTGGCTTTAAAATGTGACAACGAATTTACAATGAAATGTCAAATATCCGTACATCGCATTCTGGAGAGTTTTTTGGATACGGAAATTTCATTTATAGCCACAACTCATTTGTTTTCCAGCATTCAAAAATCGAATCAAAACTTGAATTTGGCTTCAGCACTACCACCTAAGGAACTAATACCCAGAATTGTGGAAGCTATTTTCAACAATTTAATGAGTGCAGAAGTGACTCAAGAAGTGTCAGCTTTGGGTGTTAGAAATTTGGTTATATTAACAGAACATGAGCAAGTTTTCCGATATTATTAAACTATTACTGTTTTTTGTCACTATGTTCTCGTTTCCCTTTTCAGTATCACATTCTACCATTTGGCTTTAATACTTAAACAAAAATCTTCGGAGTTTCAGAGGTGGATGTTAAAAATTATTGAACTTAATGAATCAGGCTCATATAATTCAAACGTTGAATCTTTGGTTCTACTATTACGTTCTCTGACGCAAATTGAAGAATTAAATCAAAGTTATCCTACTTTACCCGTACGCATTTTGAAACTTTCTCCAAACGAGTTGGCGTGTTTAATAGGTTTCAAAGCTGATAATGAGAAAACCAATTTAATGCAACGCATTTTGGCCATATTGCAGCATCATAAAGAAGAGGTTAACGACACTTTGCGCAACGATATACAACAATTAAAAGAATTAATGTGCGGCGTAGATGTGAAGGCCAGCGCACATTCTATGGAATTGGAAGATGTGGATATTATTGGGGAGCCAGTTTTACCCCAAACGGAAAGCATTGTAACACAATACGACGGACGACCAATTTTCTGTACCTACGAACCGATTTCAGATGACGAGCAAATGAGTGCTTCTTACTGGTTACGCACTTTGTGTATAAATGATTTTCCCGCGGAAGACTTCAATATCCAATATGAACGTGTTGTTTGTGATTTATCGGAATTAGCTCAGGAATGCTTAGCTTCAGAAACTAATCTTTCCTCGGAATGCAAAAGAGTTTTGCATCTTTCTGGTTCCCCCCAATCTAATCGTGAGCGTACACCTACTGCCCCATGTTTCCGTACACGGCGAGTAGAAGTGGAGCCTAGCACTGGTAGGCCGGAGAAGAAAATTTTTATTTCTTCTGTAAGAGGAAGAGGATTTGCCAGAACAGCACCCTCTCGTGGAGATCTCTTTCGCTCACGTCCTCCTAATACATCCCGACCTCCTTCTTTGCACGTTGATGACTTTTTGGCTTTGGAAACATGTGGTGCACAACCTACAGGGCCAACTGGTTATAATAAAATACCACCTCTTATCCGTGGAGCTCGTGTAGGACGCAATCGTGGCTCCCGCATAGCCGCTGCAGCGGTTTATAAAGCTAAAATTCTTCGTACTTCTTCGCCTTCTACTTGGAACAAGTCTGGGTCATCGCATTTTTCTGGCGTGGAAGCTCACTACAACACTTCACATTTCATTGGCCGCTCGAGAGGACGTGGCATGCGCGCTCGACCCTATTTACGTTAATTACTAAGGCTTTTTATAGCTAATATAAAGGCAACACGAAATATTCACATTTTTTCACATTTATATTGATTTTCAAGCATTGAAAAAGACTATTGGCTTTATTTATGGATAAAACTAGACACACTTATGAATATATTTAACACATTTTTGCCACTAAGTGGTCTTCTATTACCAATAAAGAGTTGAGATCATCCTGTTATAATGTAATGTATACGCACATCATGTTCCTCTAGCGGCAATTCATGATCATCAACAATTTGTTCGCGGAAGGCCAACGCCATCAATGTAACCTTCTTATGCGGATAAGTAGACTGGTGACGCTTCAAATAGGTGTCAAAATAACCCATTCCGTGACCCATGCGACCACCGCTACGGGTAAAAGCTACGCCAGGTATTAAAAACAGATCAATGCCGTGACCTAAAATAAATGGCAATTACAGATTTCTGAAAAAGTATTTTCTATCCTTTAAAGTCACCATTTGTTAGAGCATTTTCTCGTCCATCTCTTATATCGGGTTGCCTAATTTTCCACTTCGTAAATGGCAGAGAGTTGTATTCATGTAGATTTCTTAAACGTAACATTTCCATGCATTCACCCTCATAAGTTGGCACAAACACGTGCTTCTCCAAACGAAAACATTCACTCAGTAAATAGGTAGTATTGACTTCCATGTGTGTACTCAAGTAAATGCTAATACGTTCGGCTGTACGAAAAGCTTCGCTTTGTAAAACCTTGTAAAGCAAAGTAAAATTATGAGTATATTTTTTTTTCACTTCTTTATATATTCAACTTCTATACAATGTTCAAGACTAGTTTCAACGAGTTCAAACCAAAACTGTTTCAATCTTTGAACGCTACAGTGACAGTGTTTCCAAATTTGTCGAACGCGTTAGCGCTGTTAATAGAATCAATAGTTTCATTTTCTTCAAGAACACCTTGCGAAGCTTCGAACTGACTATTTTTCGAATTGCGCCCTTGATTAAAATATTAATTATTTGAAGACTAAATTTTTTGTATTTTTCAATCGATTTCTTTTACAAAAATGCTGTTTTAAATAGCAATAAAGATTTGTTTTTACTCTATGTAGTTTAGCGTAACCTGAACATAGACATGGTTTCTAAATGAATTCAGCATTTTCATATAAAATATCTGCAGTTATTTTCATTATGTTTAATTACGAGATAGCCTTAAAAAAATTTTATTAAAAGGTAATGCTATACCTTTTAACAAAGATTTATGAGCGTACATACCTTTTCAGTAACGGCTTTTGATTGAAGCTCTTTAATTTCGCTGGGCAAAAACTCTAAAATATCTTTCATGCGCTTCCGCAAGGCAGTTTTTAAGGGATTTGTTAGGTTTTTCGCCATTTTAATTAATTAAATTTATACCAGTGATTGTGAGTAGTGTGTCTACTGTTGTGAAATCTTATGATTGCAAATTATCAATAACAAAGCGTTTATCACCACAGTATTGTTTATTCATAATCGTCGCTATTGAACAAGTCCAATGATCTCCTGAAAATAATCTTTCTCTCGTTTATTATTCGCTACCGCATACTTATTATCAAAATATTGTTTGTGCGAAAATATTTTTCATTTCTCTTGGTACATATATTATATATATTTATATTGATGATCCAACATGAAACCGAGGAAGATTTTTTCCCTTAAATAGTGTTATATGTTGTTTCGAAATCTTTTGTACTTTTGGGTCTTTGAATACTATAAGTTGTTTATTTATTTTTTTTACGATTAGTATATTCTCCAGCGGGCAAAAAATTTTTTTGCGCAACAGATACAAAAATTGCTTCTTTCACAAAAACCATTTATCATTTTAATATGTTACATTCGTTTAGAATGATGTTAAACAACAATCCTTATTAAAATTTCATAGAAACGCAAAGCAACATTCAGCATTACTTCTTCATTTTGCATTAATTTTTTGTCATGTAATTTTGTTATTCTTTAGCTTCAGCGCCTTTAGTTGATTCAGGTTTATCTTTCAAATTTTTCAATTGCTCCTTTTGTTGTTTATAAAAATATTCTTCTTCGCGCGCTGCCTCCATTTTACCAAAGCTGCCGCCCGCCTCTCGAATAACGCCACCGCCCCCTCCACCTTTACCAGCACCACTACCCAATTCTCCAACTTGGGACATTTTCAGATATCTGCGTTGAAAAGAAAACGCAGCTTATGTAACGTTTATACCAACTTTTTTATTGCTATTTAAGGACTCACTGTATATGTATATGCTTAGAATATAAGCAACCTGTTATGCGTTGAAATTGTGACAACATACTAAATTTAAGAACAACGCAATGTTTTATATGTGTTGCTTTTGTATGGTATTCCTCTATTTCACAAATAGTTACAAGAAGCTTTATCTACGACCGACTTTTGCGCATTCAACCTAAAAAATTTTGACAATTGTTCTTCTTCTTATTCTGTGATTCAGGGAATAAAGAAGAGGAGTAATCGTGCAAGCAGGCGACAATCACCAATTAAATCTAAACACGTAAGCAAATTTGCCGATGATTGTCCCCAAACGCGAGTAAGCGAAAATAAGTTTCGTGCTAGCGATAAAAATACATTTCCATATTACAAATTTAAACTGTTTACCGTCTACCTTTAGTTGCGTGGATGATTGCGGCAGAAGAAGATTGTTGAAAATTGCACTGCAACCAGCTTGGAAGCGTACATAACCTGAATGTAAACAGCTTGCGTCTTTCATACATTCATAATTCAAGATTAACCCAAAACCAGAATAATTTCGGTAGCCAAATCCTAAACCAAATAGTAAATGAAATGGCAGAAAATGAGTTGATATATAGATCATATGTACATATCAATAAAGTGTACACTAGTGAGATTTTTTCAAACCTCACTCGACTTACGTGACGAAGATTCGGAGTACTTAACATACCTTAAACGGTAAATTTATTTATTTAGTGGCTTGCCATTTGCTCTTAAAGAATTCCGGCCGCAACTAGTGGTTTAGTGGTCGAATTAATTGGGCATTAAAAAAGAGAATAGATGAATTTAGCAGTTTGTGGTTAATAAAATGGGTATGCGCTTTTTTTTTGATTAGGCTGTGACCTAATTAAATAATTTTATTATTATTATCATTATCATTATAAATTTAGCCCGAGAATAAATTCTAAGACTAAAATCTTAAAGTACCAGCATCTAAGGCGAAAGCCTTATTTTTTTTTATTAAGATTTTATTAAGAACCCTACCGCACTTGAAACTTGAATCTACGACCATTGGGTTACTAGCCGCGTCTCTTGCCTATTCGGCCATTCAGGCAGATATAATTTTATTAGTATTACATCAAACTTTTTGTTCGGTCTTTGAACTACGATGAGTATTTGCAGGCATTTCACGCTTCTGATGTTCTATGGAACCAATTTACTGGCTTGTAGATAGTTAGGTTTACGTATTGCGCATGATAAGTTTTGGTCGCTCACCAATTTAAATAAGTATTCCTAAGCAATTTGATTTTCAAACTCTACAAAGTGGGACGTCAGTTTTCAGGCTATGATTATTTCGGGTTCTTTTTGTTCCTTTTCATTTAAAGCGTTGCCATTTATTAAAAGTAACTCTGTTTTCTCTTTATTCTCAACATATGGTAATTTTTTTTATAAATCATATAAAGGAAAAACTCAGCTAACGGTTTTTAGCGAAAAATCAAACCCATTTCAGAAATGCACGAAGTAGTTTGACAAAGCGAGAAAAGTAAGTTTTACCCAAATTATATTAGAAATAAGTGTAGTATATAATAAATTAAATTGTTGAAGGAAAAGAAGTTTTTACGAAAACAATGTTAATAATTAATGTATTATTTAATAAATTAAATTGTTGAAGAGAAAGAAAGAATTACACGTCATTACATTCAGATAGATTTTTTGGAAAAAAAATTTTTAAAAGGAGACTCATCTGAGATTCGTATAGTTTTTTGGAAATCTCTTTGGTGTTTTCTTAGCTATTTTGTGAACAAATCAAAGTCGGTCAGCGGCATTAGCTTAGTTGAGTAGGAATATACTTTATTTATGGGATGTGTAATATATGGTTTTTTCAAAAATTTTTAATACATTATTAGCACCAATATACAAAAATTTTGCAAGTATTTTGTCGACAAATGAAATACTTTTCATATATTTTTGTGTTTTCATTGGAACTACTTTTCTTTTTTTTATTTAATATAATGAACGTGCGAATAAATAAATGAATGAACAAATGAGTGAAAGTTTGAATGAGTGGGGGAGTGAATAATGAGGAAAGATTGAATATAGGAAGAGATGAATAAATGAATGAGTGAAAAAACTAGTGGGTGAATGATTGAGTACGTGTTTGTTAAGTTATTATAGACGAACTTCAATGTTTGCTTACAGTAAATGAAACTTTCAGTTTCCATTTCTAACTTCTGCACAAATTTTCTTTATAAAGTAAATCTATTGTACACCTACGTTATTTCTTCACATTGCACCAACAACACGTTGAGATAAAAATATCAACAAGTTACTCATCTTATCATCGTCACCTTCATGTTTTTGGTTACCTAACTCATCCTTTTCATCCTCTGGAAGACCTCTTCTGTTTGGTTTATAATATTATGATTTCGTCTGAAAAAAATAAACATATTGTTTGAAATTATAGTAAATAAGAAGAGCTTACTTAATGACATATTGGTTTTTGCTACAAATTCGTCCGAAAAGAAAAAAAAACATTAACATAAATTTTAATAAATTATTAAAACATACCTATTGTATTTTATTATTGTTATTCATTGCGCTGATTCTTCACCAATGTGTGTTTGCTTATACAGAAAACCCTTAGCTGGATTTTTTCTTTCCAAGATATATACACATACAGATTGTGTGCAGAGAAATTGCGGCATACAACAACAAAATGTGCGCCGCCATATTTGTACAATACAGTAAAAAAGAAGTAAAAGTAAAATATTTTTGAAGTTAAAAAAAGCATATCTGCTCTATACCAGCAAAAAAAATAGTACAAGTTCCAAGCTAAAAAAAGGGAGGAGTTTCCGAAATAAGTTAATTTCTCCGTTGTCACAATGAGCTTAAGATAATTCCTGAGATTTTGTTATACGTTTCGCTCCACGATTCGGTGGTCCTTTAGGTTTGGCAAAAGCCGGACGGTGAAGAATTTTTTAGGATGCAATTCATCTTGAAGAAAATCAGTAGTTAGTTCAGTACCGTTATCAATTTCTAGCTGAATAAAATAAAATCAATTATTAGAAGGTGTATAAATAAATTTTCATATCACTTGTCTAAATATTTTCTAATTCATTCTCTCGCCTACCTTTTTAACTATTTCGACGACAAAAGCTTGAAGTTTTTCAAGAAAGGGCGCTTTGCAACTCAAGTACATCATTCGCTCCCTTGCTGAGCACGTGTACCCTGGCATCGAATATATAAAAAAAAATTATTCCAAATAATCACCATCATAAGTGTGCTTGAATAAATATAGATGATATCGGGCATGTTCTTCGGGTATCTGCTTTGGCAAATCACATATGTGATACATACTTAACCCACGATTCCCCGTCGGTGCGAAAAACACATTGTACAGGACGAAAGCATCGCGACAACGTTAAATTTTATTACCAAAAATGGATGGAGGAACAAGCGCAACATTTAATCGATGCCACTACAGCCGCATTTAAAGCTGGTAAAATTACTCAGAATCCGTTTACCAGTGGGGTTCCACCAAAATCTGGAGTAGCAGTACCCCATGGAAAAAAGTTCGTTGGCTGCTTTTTATATAACTGTATTCGTTCTCATTTGTTATGCATGTATTGTGCCGCTTTGAGAATAAGCGTATATTCGAAATTTCTGAGCCAATCGACATGATTGACAACATTTCTGAGTGCAGTCACTCTATATTCTTGGGTTTTGATGAAAATGAGACAGAACAAATCAAAAAACGTACAAACGTACAGACTAACGTACAAATGGACGTACAGACGGACGAACAAATGAATATACAGACGGAGGAACGGACAGATCAGTAATTGGAAAAGTAAAGCCGGAATTTGAAAACTTACTGTAAGATAAAAAAGGATTATTCAGAAATATTTGCTCCAGATTTTAAATTAATATCTGTGATATTAATTTAAATAAAATTAATATCTGTGATATTAATTTAAATAAAATTAATATCTGTGATATTAATTTAAATGCTATAACTCTATTAGTTTTCAAATAGTTAGTTTTAAGGAATAAAAGGGCTGTGCAGTTCTGTATCCATTAATGCTAAAAGCGGAGGAATTGGCGAGGACGAACGCTGAAAGAACCAGTATAGGCACTCACCTGCAAAAGTTTTTATATATTGTAATGATTTTAATAAACTTTTATTTAACTATGATCACTCCACTTACCTAATATAAGGAATATGTTAAAGCCGCTGCATTGTTTCATTGATGGTTGATAAGGGCAGATTGACTTTATTAAGCAGTTTTGGAAAAATGATCAAACCCAGGTTGTACTGATAGGAAGCCTGCGGATGGAATTACAAAATTGGAAATAATTAAATCTTTAAGACAGAAAGGAAGATAAAAGTCTTAAAGGGCTTGGACTATCTGTGGCTACTTGTGTAAACGTGGAGTGAATTTTTACATTTATTAAATTACTGGATAAATTAATCAAATTAAGTAAATTTTATAAATTATCTATAAATAAATTAATATAAAACGTTATAGGGCTACGAAATTTTATCAATTTAAGAAATCTTCATCAATTTTAGAGAATCATGACATCCCGTAAAACTATTATAGAAGTGCAACAGGAACTTGCTTTGACCCTTGGTTTCAACGACCAAATTATTTGGAATTTGTAAGTTACGATAATATGTATTCATGTTATCAAGTGTTATTTATTTCTTTATTGACGCTTACGTAATCTCGAAGCCATTAAGGCCTATTATAATAGATTACAATGTCCAACACAGTATTAAACTTTGTATTTTAAACTAAATATATCTTGCAAGCATGATTGCAGGATCAAATTCATAACTATATGTGATGCTGTATATTTTGAGACAACATCTCAATACCCGGAACGAGAAACCTATTTCCCACACTCCTCAATCGTCTTTAGAGACTTGTTTACAATCAATAATATATAAAAATATTTTAAATTCCAAACGTCCTTCAGGATTCCAACTGTGTTGCGCATCAACTTTCTTAAAGAATCTTCTCTACTTATACTCTAGAAATAGGGAAGAGTCTTATTGTAAATCAGAGTGTTTTTTGTGTCCTTTGGACGAGTGGAGCCTTCCAGAATAATTTACGCTGATTACTGAAGACGCTTACGCTTCTGTCTTGCTCGATAAGTTACGGTTCAATATGAGGATTTTTGCACTTGCTTCTTTGCATAATTTCATTCAATGCCTATTTAAATTGAAGGATTTTTTCATAATAGCAACTAAAGCGTCAATTTCAAAAACCTTTGTAAGCTGGGACACTTTCTAAACAAAAAAATTTCATATATGGCAAAACTTTTCATATCGATTACATGGAGGTTATTATATTTGGCTAAGTAAAAGCAAATCAATCAATTAATACACTTTAGCTTTGAATTCTATTATTTTTCTATTTACATTGCAGCGTTAATAAGCCTACTCTTTTAATTAATTTCAAACTATAAAATTGAGAAGATGAAATGGAATCGTCTATGCAACCCAAGGAAATTGATCATATATGCCGCACATGTGGTTTCGTACGAGCGAAACCTGGCCGCTATTCCTTACATGACTTTATACCTTTGAATACGGGCCCGCCAAAAACTTACGGGGAATTTCTAAGTAATTTATTAAAAAATAATGTACGTTTTCCTTCATTGATTGTGTATGTCATTAATTTTCTTTTAATTTTTCCGTTAGCTTGCTATGGGGAAAATATTATGCCTCAACGATTGTGTATCAAGTGTGCAAATTTATTAAAAAATGTTTACATCTTCATTTTGGAAGCGAGAAAATTACATGAAAAATATTCAAGTCAACAATGGTATTTAGAAAATGTTCTGAAGAATCAAGATTGTTTACAAGAAATACCAATCGATTTCCCAAAAGGATCACAAATAATAGTAGACATGAAGACAGAGCCGCAGCCCTCTACAAATCTGCTAAATTCTGAATACGGAGAAACCGGAGTAAAAGTTGAAGAGTCGAATGCAAAGGTCAAAAAAGGAGAGGAAACTAAAAACACTGATGAACACTCACTAAGCGACGTGATTGTAAAAGTTGAACATAACGGGGAGGCGAAAAGGTATTGGTTGAGAAATTTGTTATTTAGCAAACTCTGATTTTATGAAAATGCATCTACCGGTTGACAGCTCCCGAGTTGTAGGTGATAATATCAAGAAAAATATTGTGAATAATTCTCAACAAAGTGATGATAATCAAGAATGCCACTTAGCAATTGCTGATGGGGAAGATACTAAAGATACTAAAGAAATTAACGGTAACAAGGGATCGATCCAGCGACACTTAGCTGTACGTTGCGAATTGTGTGATAAAATTTATATAAATTATAAGGCTTTTGCTACCCACAAAACATATGAAATATAATATATATAAATGTATAAAAAATAATCTCCCCTTGTACGTCTCCAGAATAGTTTTATACAACTTTAATAGGCGTGCCATTCGATTTTACCCTATTTTGAAAATTTTTCTGTCACAATATTATATACGAGTAGCGAGTGACACTTGGCTGGATACTAATGCGTGGACTCCATTAACTCTTAACTTTTAACTTTTAGTGCTACCGGATCACCATCCCCCTCTTACCGAAACCTATAGCTGTAAGTGCTCTGAAATATCTATGAATCTTTACATAATTTTACGCATTTCAATCCTATACAAATTCAAGTCTTTCATTGTCTTTTGATAACAACGTTTTGCTGGACTCACCCACAAGTTCAGGTAAAACTATAGTGGCGGAAATACCCATACAATAATAACAAAAGAGCTAAGGTTGTTTATATTGCGCCTTTGAAAGCTTTGGTTAAGGAAAGAATTAGCGATTGGATTCTCAACTGATAGATACCACACCAAAAAAATGGGATGGTATCAGCCGGTCTTGCTAGACAAGAGAATATGTACAGGACGTTGTACTAATTGTTATAGACGAAATACATTTTGTAATTGTATCATGTACGAATTTCATTACGTCAACATAGGATGCAATATACGTTGGTTTATCTACTGCTTTTGCCAACGCTCAAGATCTCGGAAATTGGCTGGATATTAAGGAAATGGGGTTATATAATTTTAAACCTTCCGTAAGACCGGTTGCTTTGCAAGTGCATATAAATGGATTTTCCGGTAATTAAACCGATTTTCATAACATTTCTGACTTTTCTTTAATGATTTATTTGCAGGCAAACATTACTGACCACGGATGGCCACTATGAATCGGCCGACATTCCAAACAATACGCTCTTATTCGCCAACGGGACCCACCATAGTTTTTCTTTCATCCCGCCGTCAAACTCGATTAACCGCTTTCGATTTGATTACTTAGAGGCAAATGAGATAACGATAGAAAAAATGAGTTGCTCTAATATATTTCTTCTTTACTCCTTTGCCAGATACTGGATTATTTAAGCTTACGCTTGCGGTATTCTGCCGTTGCCGTCTGTGCTCTCGGTGATGTAAAATACCTTAACAAGCTCAAACGATACATTATCAGTAACCACGAAGAATCAGATAATAATGAATTATATGAATACGTACAATTTGTTAAACGCAGTGTGGAAGCCAAAAGATGTATTATCTCTTTCTTTTTTTTTTATTCATAGAGTTTAGTTGGAATTCCCTTTGTTTTTTTGCAGGCGAATCAAATCTTTTGCGCTTACATGATTTACTAAACGCTGCTGCTGAATTATTGGCTTCTTCGTTGTTTTATCTTGTATAACCTTTGATAAATTTTTAGCTGCCAATCGAACGGATAATAGTTGATATCATATATACATCAGACAAACAGCCGGAGTTTTAACTTTTCCTGAAGCTTTCCTGAGCTTAACTTCGAGAAAGCATTTAATCTATCTGATATAAGGCATACAATTGATTCGATACGCTTAATGCTTAGTCCATTAACGCCCATTTTCTGATTGAAATTGGTTAAAAATATTGTTTTTCTACTCGTTAATACAAAGACAAAAACTTTCATACTTGATAACTGATCCTGCAACACTTGCACACAAATTGAAAGTAGTGATCAGGAGCAAATGCTGTACAGCACCGAAATTTGGTTCTTTTACCTAAATACTTGCAATATGCTGAAAGAAACTTCGGAGAACCTATAAAATGTGCACGTATTATTGATCAGCACCAGATTTCGAATCCATCTTGCCATATTTATCTGTGGTATTTTGGGACTATATACCATAAGAAATCAGTTATGAGACGTATCATGCTCCTTCGTAGTTCCAGTGACAAAAGAATGTGGGTGTTCTGCCCATTTTACGAAGCAGGGGGAAATTGTTCGCGACAAATTTTTGCTCTCGGCATGCTTTTTTTTTTGCCTTGGCAATCTGACACGCTACTACTTGGCAATAGAACTACTTCAGCTAAAAGCATAGCAGCTTTTCCTCCTTTGGTCATTTTCAAAATACGAAATGAACCGACGACCATGTCATCGAAATATTTGAAGATTTCTATGATCATAGTATCCTAATAAAACAGTTGGAAACTTTGTCGAACCTATAATTGATATTGTTTTTCTTTTTTTCTCTTTTCTTAGATGATTGGAAAACGCCGGCATTGCCTCGTGATTTAAATTCGTTTATGGCAGATATGCCACTAAAACCTGAAGTAGAAGCCACTTTAATTGGTGACGTGGCCGTTGTATTTAAAGAATCGCATGAATTAATGGTGGGAGTTAAGAAATCTGATAAAGGATAAAATACGCATGATCTCCAAGTAAAAACAAGAATCCGTGATTGCATTTTAACTGTAATAAAATGTAATTTTTATAAAGTTGAAATACAAAGGTGGCGCGGGATAGCAATACAATCATTCTGCTGCCCCTCAATTCTCGTTAAGGTCATTATTTTGTAATATAAAAATTTTTAGGAAGTTTTTTTTTCTCTGTTTCCTTGAATTAAACTATTCTTATTTTTCTGCTAAACACTTTTCAATGCCCACCTTGTAAAAAAAAGAAAACAAAAAAAATTGGTACTCATGTAAAATTGTTATATAATTATATACTTATTTAAATTATTACTTCTGGAATAAAAATGGTTTGATGTGATTTTTATTTAAAAAAAATTTTTTTTTTCTCATCTGCTTCTTTCATTCCATTAAATATTGTTTTTTTTTTGTTCCTTTGTTTATTTATTTAAATAAAAATGTTCAACAAAATGAAGAAAAAAAAGTTTAAAAAAACTCTTTAAGTAAAGAACATTTTTTTTTTATAAAGAGCCAAGAAAAAATGCGTTTTAAATGTTTTTTTCTAGAAAAAAATTTTAATCAAACTTGTGTTTCTTATCTCGACCGACGTTGATTCTCTTTATAAGCTGTAACATCGTGTAGTCATTTTTTGTAAAAATGCGTTAAGAAGGTTTTCTTTTTTTCATTTACTTAATTAAAAGTTTTGTTCTTGGATCGCTTTAATGTAATGATGTCTCTAAATGGGCTCTTCAATGATGCGGCGGCCTTGAAAAACGTTTACCACAAATTCCGCAGCTGGAATATAAAAGTGCACATAGATACGCATACAAAGTAAAGAAAGAAAAAAACGTACATCGGTAGCTGCTTAAACAACTCACTTAATTGGTTTTCATCAGTAGTGGGTTAATTGGTGAGCTTTTAGGACGCTCGAATATGTAAAACTTTTGCTGCATATTTCGTATTTAAAAGGTCGTTCATTACGATGTATTCTATTAGAAATAAATGATTAACTATGAAATAAATGTTTTTGTAAATGCTTAAGTTTACCTCTCATGTTTCTTCATGGTAGAACGATCGCTGAAAGTCCTGACAATATTGTCACCCGAAAGGACGTGCGGAAGTATGCTTACGAAATGTCGTTTTAGTTCGAAATTTAAAAAGAATGCCTGACCACATATACTATAAAAAGAAAACGAAAATTTCCCGATATGCCTGAATACAGTCATTGTTCGTCATTTTTATTCTTACTCGCATTCAAATGGCTTATGTACTACATATGCTAACTTGCATGAATTATGATGAAAATATATTCTACAAACTGCTAACTTGCATGAATTATGATCAGAATATATTCTACAAAATGCTAACTTGCCATGTAGGATAAGAATTCCAACAGCTTCTATGTTTGATTTAACAGAATGAGGGAAATCACACCGAGCCTACCAAAAGCTCGCTCCCGTTATGATCACATTCAATAGCAAGCATGTAAAAGCTGACGTCAACGGAACCTAATTTCAAGCGTAAGGGAAATGCTATCGTTCTGTTAACGGACGCAGGTAACTACTGCAATAGAATCTAATACATGTACAAGTACAATATGCCAAATGGTTGCATATTTGGGTTTTGAAAATTTTCTGCTAAGAAGAAAAATCAATTTAAATGAACTGTGAGGGTTTTTTTGCCCAATCCTGGTGCTGGGGTAGCTCAGCGGCTCCAGATTTTGTTTCATAACAAATTTATTTGGGAAGATTTTACACCCACCCCTCAACGATAGGAGTACATTCAATTTGTCACGTTTGAAACCTCAGAGACGCTATAGAGTAGGAGCGTGGTTATTGTCTCCTAGCCATTTTAACTATTTCATTAACGGAAAATATCGCCAGTCCTCCTCCAATCCATAGTGAACCTTTACGTAAAGTTTCGAAATATTCTGAACACTCTCCTACGACATGTCATATACGATTCAGATAATGATATTTGCGAGAACGGTATCAACGATACGTAAGTATTCCTTTATTTTCAGGAATGCCATAAGTATTATATCCTCTTTGTAGATATATTTACCAGCCAATAAATCCATGCCACATTCGATTTAAAAGGAACATATCCGTCACATTTGTGTCTCTGTCGTTTCTGTTGATATTTATGGCCTCATTTTCTTTGTAAGGTAAGAAATTATTCATTGACAAATTGCCTTGAATTTCTTTATCTTGCATATTAATTTCGCCTAACCGTATGTAACAGCACAACGCAAAAATTCTATTATTTTAACCATGTTTAAGAATAGGACAAAATCGAATTGCAACTTATTGACCTATTGTGGACACAATTAAACCGAATTCTGCGGATGGAAATCTTGAGAACTTTTTCCAGCTTAATTCAGAAAGTACAAGCAAAATAATTAACGAATCCTTAAAAAAGCGAACAAAAACACTAAAATGGGACGCGGCCCACCACTAACTATCCTACGCCATCCTACAACGACTTCTGAAAATAAACGTTCACATGGGAAGTGATTGAAAAAGTGGTCGGATCCGACCCATTTCAATAAGGTTCATTCTTAATCAAAAACATGTCAGTGTACTAAGTTTCATCAAATAATTTGCGACTTGTAGGTTGATTTTTTGTATTGATCGGTATAATTAAAGATGCGTCTGTTCCTCGTCCTTTTGGGTGTTGCGTACATCCGCATAAACTTAGAATACGCTTATAACCCAAGTGATATAGGATATAAGAAGCATTAGTAAAAACTCTATTGATAAGACACTAGGTAGTCCAGAAATTTCTGGCGGTTTTTCACTATGAAATAAAAGAACTTTTTTGTATAAGGAATAAACTTTTTATGTATATATATATATATTTTTTTTTTTTGCATTTTCTTCAATAAAAAGTTGCCATTATCCCCTCCTCATAAAATTTCTGATTTTTTGCAGCAAAAAAGATTTTCCTTATACCAATTTACACTGTCGTCTGATATGAAAACTAAAAACTATCGCAGAGAACGAAAGGGATGGTAAACTGATGGTGCAAACATGGTCAGGACCACACGGTGGATTTGATAATACATTTCAGCTATGTTCCGATAATTTTTGGCGAATGAGGAAAGAAATGTGAAGTCGTTCATTGCTATGATGAAAAGCAATATTTTTCCGTGTCTACTGCTAGGCGTCATTTAATTTGATTAGTTGTCCACAGCATACGCCAGAATTAATTGTTCTGTTATGCGGTAGAAGCTCATAATAGACAACTGCTAACACCACTACATTAATAGCAAAGTTTTCTGTGGATAACCGGTTTTGGTGTTGTGTAAGACGGCCATGTTCTATTGCTTTGCTCATTTCTGTGCAGGACCCATTTTTCATCACCAGTTACAAATGAAATTAGAAATGGATCGTTTTAGTTTCATTGTAACCACACCTCTAGGTCGTTCCCAACAACGTCCAACACATGAACTTTTCTTGTATCTGCATTATTTTCAACTTCTTCTTGTGCGGCATTACCTCGCCGCTTACTTGGCTTCTTTTTGACAGCTTTGTCCGCTCCCTGAGCTTCTATGGCAGTTTTCTTCCGCTTTACTCTAGTGATATCCGTCGCGACAACTTCTATGCCGGTTTTCGTTGAATTACTATTGTTTGTATCACTAAATGTAGATACTGGTTTAGCAGGCTTTTTCTTTGACGAAGGCTTGGAAGAATCTTCATCAATCAATAAAGTGCTAGTTTGTGAAGCAAGTTCTTTGAACGCCTCTAACTTATCCGCAACCTTATCATTAACTCATTTTTTTTTATGCTTTATTTTTAGGATTTCTTTTTCTTTTATAATATCTTTCCTTACTTTCTTTTTTCTTATTTTTTCTTTATTTACATTATCTTCAATAACCTCCTCACTTGGCATCGTATTAAACGTATTCGTTTCATAAGCTATTGCTTTTGACGCAACGGGCGAAGAAGTTTTTCTATCCTCGTGGTTGCTAACTTTATTTTCCTCCGTAAACGTTTTGCCAAAAATATTTTCCGAATCTTTCTCGCTATATTGAGAGAGGCCTTTAGTAAATTTTTTATAATGAACTCGGGCCTTACTTTTTCATGAGCGTTCCTCCAATGACGTGCCACTAGTTTTTTCTTTAAGTTTCTTAGAGGTATCTGTTGCAGTTTCTATGCTTTCTCTGTTGCTTCGAAAGGAATTAATTCTAGGTATATCACTTTTTTCACAATTCGCATTCTCAGCATTCAAAGATTTGAATAAACCGTCAAAGCAATCTTCATGCTGCGCCCATTGATCATGCCCTTTGACCAACCCATCTTCTCTAGCATTCTACTTCCGAAACGATTTGGATCTGAAAAATTGTAAATTAAAAACTTTTTTTTTCGGTATGTTGAATGGAGATGGAGTAAGCCAATAGATTTGTGGCTTATTTTTTTTTTTTTGGTATGTTGAACAGAGATGGACTATTTTTTTTTCTTTTTTGGTATGTTGAACTGAGATGGACTAAGCCAATAGATTTGTGGCTTATATGTCCAAATAATAAATTGTTGTAATTTTTGGTCACAATTATGTACAAAACGTAACAAAAAAAAGAGCTGCCGTAATAACTGGAGCCAGCATGTTAAGTGTAATTGTGTGTGTGTGTGTAATTGTGCTTGTTGAGTTCTTGAAGGTCAAACAGTGCTGCAAACTTTGGCTGAAAACGAAAAGGAATGCTATGGTAATAGAAGATGATTGAATGCGAAAACAAAAGAAAAAAAAAAGGGAAAGAAGAGGAAAAAAAACCAGTTAGTTTCCCAAGATGACTTACATTTTTTGCTGCAAAGAGATCGAGGAGACAGCCATATAACTTGAAGAAGCTAAAGGAATCTCTAATGCCATCAAACCTGCGACATCTGAAGATTAGATGGTCAGCAGACTCAACAACATTGCAAACCTCCCAAACTTCACATGGTATAGCACGAATCACTTTTAAATAAACTTGTCATAAGTGTGACCACTCATGAGTCCTTAAAGAATTTTGATTTCCCAGGAATTAAAAGAAGATAGACAAAAGGGTTTGAATCGCAAAACAATTTTCATCTTTCAGAAAAACTTCACTTAAGATGCAGAAATCAACCTTGTTTGAGTTTAAGAAAATCCAAAAACGATAGGTTACGTCGGACACTT